CAGTCGTGGTCCCGGCATAGCGCTTCCCTGTTTAGCGGGATGCCCTGGATAGCGGCCCCAAAATCTCAACATCTCGTGGTACGGCTGCACCTCGGTAGTCGAACATAATAGAACATAACTGCCAATCCGGTCTAGCGGCGATGCCCTCAATAGCGGTTTCAACATGTTGGGACAAGATGGACCGCTAAACCCGGACCACGACTGACTGTGGTCCCTTTTTTTTTTTTTTCCATTTGTTCCTGAGAATAACTCCCGCTTGGTGGCTGAACGCGGAGAATAAAAAGTCGTGTAAATAGAATCGAATTATTCTCGAATCATCCGCGGGACCATGTCGAGGCCGTACCGACTACCTACCGTACGTTGCACACTTAAGACACCAACCCCCGCGTGGATCGATTTTTCAAAACTCGATTACTCGGCAGGAAAAGCAGTGGCGGTGCAGGAAAAGCAGTGGGGCCGGAAACGGCGGCGTCGGAACTGTCTCGTCGAGAGCATTGCGGAAAACGCATCATCAGTAGAGTTCGACATCGTCGTCCTCGTCGAGAAATCGAGCTTTGCAAATCGGTTCTGGGGGTGTGGTATCTTGCGTATGTACTTCCTCTGTATCATAAGTTAGGGTACCTAAATGCAATAGATTGTCTGGGTGCAACCGTGTTAGTGATGGTAGCATAGTCGGGTTTGTAAGAAAGATATAACAAAGAAGAAGCGATGGAAAAAAAATTAAAAAAAACGAACATCTATTTCTGTACCTACTATTGGTCAAAATGTACCCTATTTTGGCCTGTTTTGGGAATATTTTTTGGGATATTTTTTGAGAATTCTCGACAAAATTCTCAAATCCATTTTACTACCCTACTCTAGCGATGGAATCGCCCCCCAGCACACCACCTTGCAAAAGGGGCACCGAATTATCGGTTGGTAGGCGCTATGCCATGGCGGTAGAAATTGCGACGGGCAGTCAGCCGGGGTCGTCAAGGATTCCCAAGGGCGTGCTTGACCCGATCTGCGAACGCTACGGTGTTGGAAAGAAGTACCCGTCCAAGTTTTGGAAACGGGTCAAAACCCAGATCGACAACACCCAGGAGCTGGACCTTTCAAACGAAGCAAAGTGGGCGGCCGTCGCTTCTCACCCCTTCAAAGATTGCGGTGGCATCGAGTCCAAGTGATGATGAGGAAGAATAGTCGACTTTTTCTTTTTTTTCCCCGCCACCAACCAACCCTTCTTTTTGTCCCGCAAGTGTCTTGATTTTAGTGTGACCCCCCAAGTGTCTTGGTTTTAGTGTGTGACCCCCAAGTGTCTTGGTTTTAGTGTGGTTCACTACTATACTGATTTTAGTATAGGGGGCGCGACATGGATCGTTGAGTAGAGGGGGGGGTTGGATGAGGGCCCTACTGTTGCTTGCTTTGCCCCGTAAGTGTCTTGGTTTTAGTGTGGTCCCCCCAAGTGTCTTGTTTTCAGTGTGGGGGCCACTATTATGCTGTTTTTAGTATGGGGGACGCGTCATGGATCGTTGAGTAGAGGGGGGGCTAGGTTTAGGGTCAGGGATAATTCTTGGTATTTTTGCCTTGTTTTTGTCATTGCCCCGCCCCCCCCGCCTGGTCGGAGGGGGCAGAATACATGCAAAATGCGGCCTTTTTCAGGCCGACTGGTTTTTCTCGGGCGCTCATGCACGCGGGGTGGCGCATGCATATAAAATAAAATAAATGTTTCTTGCTAAAAAAACTCCGAAGATTTCAACAAAAAAATCGAAAAACAGATCGGACACGGGTAAGGGCCCGTACAAATTTAGGTACCCTAACTTATGATACAGAGGAAGTATGCAATTTGCGGTTTAGTACAGTAGACCTGCAGATAGAACCCCCAAGGCTAATATCAATGCCTCATATATGCATGCAGCTTTGGAGCAGAGGGGTTCTCACGCAAAGAACACGCATGCCGTAGTCGTTATTTTACACCGCTTTTTATGGCTCCACAATGTTGCAAGAAAAGCTGCAAACTTTTCCTGCAACTTTTCTTCCAAACTTTTGTCAATGCAACTCTTGGTGCACGCTCATTATGGTACGAAGAAAGTTTTGTGCACGGGACTGGCGGAGTGCGGAGGCGTGATTTTTTTTTTTGGCAACGGCGAGAAGAAGGAAGTAGGCATGCGTCTGTCATGTTGCACCGACCGCGAAAGAATCAAAGCGTGGAGGAGAGGGTAGTCGCAACCTTTTTCTCCACCCTCACGATACCCCAAGGCATCTAACCTGGTACCAGAAAGATGCTGGGTAGAGCTAGCTCGCTCGGGGTGGCATTGCTGTTGCTGTTTCCTTCTCCTTCGAAAAGTTATCGCTGAAAACCCAAACCATGCGCACACAATCCCGGCGAGCTTGAACCAACTGCTCTCTGACGTGGGTACTTTGGGGTCGATCAACACTTTTTTCCCCGATACCCCACGGCACCAAACTTTGGGCATGAAAGATTGAGCAGAGAGCTCCCTCCTACCGAGCGACCTTGCTATTGCTTTTGCTTCCTCCTTCGGGAAGTTATCGGCGGATAACCAAACCCGCGGCGGTCAAAAACATCAGCAAAAAAAACGCTCGCGGCCGTTGACGGTCGTGTCCAGCATAAACTATTTTTCCCGGCGCATTCGGCACCTTCACGGCCCCAAGCCTTGGCATAGCCCAACAGTCCATGGCATCACCTCCTTCCAGATCCTATTCATGAGGCAACTCGTTAAGTATTCATCGAGATATCGGTGATCACAACCTTCCCACAATCGATGCTGGAGAGGGTCTTAAGTGTGTGGTAGGGGTTGCAGCTTGACCTGAACCGGCATAGTTTCCGCCGTGCAGCTTTTCTCGCCCCTTCCCGACTCGAGAAAAGCTGCAAAAATTTTCGGTCAGATTGCAGCTTTTCGCTCCGGAAAAAAAGTTGCAGAACTTTTCGTGCAACTTTTAGCTCCCATGCTGAGCGTACATTAGCAAACCTGCAAGAAATGTTGCAGAAATGAAGCTTTTTTTGCAGCATTGTGCTGCCAAAAAAAGCGGTGTTAGACCATTGACCTCGCATCCCTACGAAGCCGGAGACGGAGCTGCGACATGCAGTTTTTTTTCGCAGCAACCGGAGGAGAAGGTACTCATGCAAACGCATGACGTAGTCGGTCTACCGCAAACCTCGCATCCCACAGATGACGGGACGAAACGGTTGTTAAATGTACAGCATAGCTGGCTTGTAGAATTGCGGATACAACGCTGTACATCGAGCACCGCGTCCTCGAGAGGACGGAGGATTATTCCCACAGGGGTAGGGAGGGTACGAAAAAAACGAACATCTTGTCTGGAGAGTACCGGCCGGAGGACCCTGTATTGTCCGCACATGTCACGGCCAGGGTGCACTGAGCGTTCAAGTTTTTTTTCGGACCCTTGTTACCAAAAAAACAAAAAAACAAGCGAGAACGACCGAAAGCTATTTACTACAATACAATGGGGAAGAAGGGCCTTTGGTGTCAACGCGTAAACAAATTCTCGGGTGACGCGCTTTTTCGCACACAGCGATTGCTACACAGCTAGCTACATTTATCCGTAGGCTGTTGTATAGCCTACAAGCAGAAGGCGTATATAGTATTCGCTGCAAGCTCACTGCGTCTCGGATCGAAGAGGTACAGAATATGTCGTTGTTACTGGCTGACCCCACCGCCTTAGATGTGGTGGGTGGTGGGGCGGTTTTTAATACTTGTAACGCAAAACCACCCAGCGTAATGCCCACAGATACGGCGGTCCACCTTTGGGGGGCAAAATCTTTCCGAAAGGTGACACAAGATACCACACCCCCTGGACCAGCTTTCAAAGATCGGTTGTTCCACACCACAAAGAGTGGCGGTGCCGAAAACGGTGTTTTGGGAACCGTTTCGTCGAGAGCTTTCCCAAAAACAACGTCTCGCTGGGTGTACGCACCCTCTTCGTCGTGGAGTACTCGAGCTTCAACAATCGGTACAGGGGGTGTGGTATCTTACGTCACCCACGGTGCATTCCTTGGACACAACCTGTGGTCCTGTTTCGGCGCTCATACGGCTGTACAGGACGCGGTCAAAAAGTTTTCGTCGAGCGTGCCTGTCGCCTCCCTAGATAGCCGAGAGTGGGAAAACATGAATTGATGATGCACCCCCCTTATAGCAGCAGCATCGCTCAAGGTTGTCACGGTACCTCCAGGACCTAAACTGCTCGTTCCCGGACGCTTGATGACAACAAATCACATACTCGAAGCTGCTTCTCTATCTCGATTTTCTCCCTGGCACATCCAACCAATTCTCTGTCCCCCCCCCCCC